GGGTGTCTGGGTCTGATTTCTGGATGGGCCACTTCTACTGGTTGGTTAATTTGGGGTTGTGAGATGGGGATGGTGAAAGTAGTAGTGGAAACTCATAAGTTGGTTGGGAGGACTCAACAAGACTCAGAACAATGTCTGACCCCAAGTGCCAGCTCAAGGAATATGAGCTATCCCAGCTTGGCCAGTTTGAAGAGCTAAGAGAATCTTACCTGAGCTAAGGTCCCTATCCCAGAAATGCTCATTATCACATACACCCAAAGTCTGAGGGTCTTTCAGGGGTACACAGATCTTGTCTGCACCCACCTCCTAACCCTGAGGCTAAGCACCTCTGTTTACAAACACCTGAAACAATGGACAAGTGTGTTTGGGTGTGCAAACTTCTTCAGTCGTTTTCAGGTGACCTCCCGGCTTTTCTGAACCATAGCAACAGGTACAGTAGGGGTGTCGAACTCAATCAGAGAAGGGGCCAAAATCTAAAATCCAGCCTAAATCGCGGGCCGAATGGTTTACTGAACAGTCATAAACTGTCATTGTGATGGAAACGCAGCGGAGTGCAGTGATGACAGCACGGTGCGGGCCACATTGCAAGGCCTGGCGGGACGGATTTGGCCCGCGGGCCTTGTGTTTGACACATGTGAGGTACAGGTAAACAAATAGGTACTGTGGGAGGGAACTTTGTAGCTGGGCTCTAAGTTTCCTTTTTGTTTATTAGGAAGGAAAGCATAGGATCTCCCAGCCATCTTGGTTGGGTTTAGAGAGCAGGAGGAAGGCTTGGGTTTCCCAGGCAATGGAAGAAGCCAAGCTTTTCGCCTGCCCTAGCTGGCCTAAGCCTCCACTCAAGGCCACACAGTTTCAATTATAGAAAGTAAACAAATCCAAACAGAAATAGCTGCCATCTACAGAGCGAGCAGGAGGCTTGGCTCCACTCCAGGCTACAAAGTTTCAATTGTAGAAGGTAAATAAATTCCAGATACCAGGGCCTCTGCTTGGATTGCCAGGGGGCATGGCTGGCCTGCAAACCACACAGATCCCTTGCTCTGGCTGCCCCATGCCCCAAGGGAACCCCCACCCTCATCTGGGACACCCTTCAGGGCAAACCAGCTGGCCCTCACTCATGCACCAAGCCTCTAGCCTATTTAGTAAAAAAAATAATATGCAGATTGACCATCACTCCAACACACAATAGCTGCCCCCATGTGGTCAAAGATCCTGCCCCTATGTGGACACAAGATGGCCACTGCAGGATGGCCATTAGGGGAGGACAGTTGGGAGGCACCAGGCCTGCAAGGGAGGGCAGTTGGGGACAATCAAGCCTTCAGGAGAGGGCAGTTAGAGGTGACCAGGCCGGCAGAGGAGGGAAGTTGGGGGCAAACAGGCTGGCAGGGGAGTAGTTAGACATCAATCAGGCTGTCAGGGGAGTGGTTAGGGAGTGATCAGGCTGACAGGCAGAAGCAGTTAGGGGCAATCAGGCAGGCAGGCAGGTGAGCAGTTGGGAGCCAGTAGTCCTGGATTGGAGAGGGATGTCCGACTGCCCGTTGAGGCCCGATCCCAGTGAAATTGGGCCTAAATGGGAAGTCAGACATTCCTCGAGGGGTTCCAGATTGGAGAGGGTGCACTCTGGGCTGAGGGACGACCCCCTGCCCTGAGGCCACATGCACAAATTTTGTGCACCAGGTCTCTAGTTGTGAGAATAAACAAGTAATCTTTTCTGTCAAAGAAGGGAGTGTGGGCAGCTGCCATTTTGGCCAAGATGACTTGCAGCTCCCCTGGGAGCTGCCATTATGAAATGTCAAAGGTCAACTCCGCTCTTTTTCCTTTAAATTAGTCAATCATGTAAGAATGTGTGCCTAAACTTTGACCAATCAAGAATGAGGGAGAAATGGCATGCATCAGGGATAAAGCCTAAGTGGACCACCTGCTCAGAGTGCATGTTTGCCAGACCCCATGTGTATGCACCTTCCTGCCGGAATAAAGGTATTTCCTTACTGTCTGGCTCTTGAGTAACCTTTATGTCCCACCAGGAACCTGGTTTGGGGCTCACCTTTTTTCCTAACATTTCTGAGTCTGAGCAAAACACCTTTATCATATATTGTAAATGAGAGCTGAACTCATTCAGCTCTGAAGATAAAGGGGCACATCCTCCCTCCAGCCCAATTCTCAGGTGTTCTTAGGTAATGAAGAACCTTTCCTCACAGTGTGCAGGAGCCCCTCAGGGAAGTCCCAACTCAGCTGTCATTAACTAACTGGCTTGTCCAGGGGCCCCCACAAGGCTTGGTCTGCCCGGGTCCTGAGCCCTTCTGGTTGTGTTAGACAGCTGGAAGAGAAACTGGGGCATGTAATAGGGTTGGATTGTGACTTGAAGGGTGAGAACCTCATGGAGCTCAACCCATAAACAATTCACTTGAACACACTACATAACATCCCTAGAAAATTTGCTCAGACTACAGATACCCAAAATTAAAAAATAAATAGAAATTGGCATGGGAAATTGTACCTGCAAGGCCAGAAACTCCCAAACCCCAGCCCTCATTTAATACTCCTGATAGGAAGCCTTTACTTATATTTGCTTTACAGAAATGGGAAGTTTTAATTTGAAAATTCCAACTTAAAAATGGCCAAAATGCAGTTGTCTTTGGGTACCTACATTAATATTTTGTATACAAAAATTAGAAAAATGCCAGCTCACAGAGTCCCAGAAAAGATGAACTCCAAAAGACCAACACTTAGATACATCATAAGTAAATTGGCAAACACCAGTAACAAAGTAAGAATCCTAAAGACTGCCAGAGAGAGACAGAAAGTTACATACAAGGGATCTCCCATTAGACTGTCAACTGATTTCTCAACAGAAAAGCATCAGACCAGAAGGGAATTGAATGAAATATACAAAATAATACAAAGCAGGGGACTGAATCCCAGAATAATCTATCCAGAAAGTCTATCATTGAAAATTGAAGGGAAAATCAGGAGCTTTACAGACAAAAAAGGGTTAAGGGAGTTCATTACCATCAAGCCACCAATGCAAGAAACGCTAAGGGGATTGTTGTAAAAGAAACAACAAACAAACAAACAAACAAACAAACAAAAACAAGGAATAGTAAGGGAAGGAGGAACATGGGCACAAAGAATAAAAATGGTGACAAACAAGTACCTATCAATGATAACCTTAGAGGTAAAAGGCTTAACTGCTCCAATTAAAAGACATAGGGTAGCTGACTAGATAAGAAAACATGACCCATATATCTGATATCTATAAAAGACTTACCTCAGAACAAAGGACTCATATAGACTGATAGTGAAGGGATGGCAAAAACTTTTAGGCAAGTGAAAATGAAAAAAACAACAACAACAAAAAAAAAGCTGGATTAGCAATAGTTATATCTGACAAAATAGACCTCAAATTGAAGGCTATAACAAGAGATAAGGAAGGCCACTTCATAAAACTAAAGGGAGCAATTCAACAAGAGGATATAACTCTGGTAAACATATATGCACCCAATGCAGGGGCAACCAAACACATAAAAACCATCAGGAAGATATTAAGGGGGAGATCAATAGCAATGCAATTACAGTAGGGGACTTTAATACCCATTGACACCACTGGACAAATCCTCTAAACAAAAAAATCAACAAATAACATCAATCCCAAATGACTCACTACATCAGATGGAATTAATTGACATCTTCAGAAAATTTCACTCCAAAGCTACAGAATATACATTCTTCTCAAGTGCACCCGGGACATTTTCAAAGATAGACTACATATTGGGACACAGGCAAAGTCTCTTTGAATTCAAGAAGATTGAAATCATATCAAGCATCTTCCCAGATCACAACTCTTTGAAATTGAAAGTAGAATGGTGGTTTCCAGAGGCTAGAGCAAGGGGGAAATGGAGGAACTCTTGTTTAATGGATATAGTTTCAGTTTGAAATGAGCTCTGGAGATTGGTTGCACAACAACCTGAGTATATGTGAGTATATTTAATACTACTGAACTCTACACTTAAAAATGGTACAAGTGGTCGACTTAATGTTCCATTTATTTTACCCGAAAAACTGGGAAAAAAAAAAAAGACAAAAAGTAAATTGAATTTTTAAGTAACTAAACATTTCAATTGCCTAGGGATCCTTGTCAAAAATGAAAGCATGGCCTAAACCGATTTGGCTCAGTGGATAGATTGTCGACCTGAGGACTGAAAGGTCCCAGGTTCAATTCAGGTCAAGGGCATGTACATTGGTTGCAGGCACATCCCCGGTAGGGGGTGTGCAGGAGACAGCTGGTCGATGTTTCTCTCTCATCGACATTTCTAACTCTCTATCCCTCTTCCTTCCTCTCTGTGGAAAATCAATAATATATATATATATATATATATATATATATATATATATATATATATATATATTTTTTTTTTTTTAATGAAAGCATGTTTTGTAACAGTAAATTTAAAAAGAAATAGCATCAAACATTTCACATTCCAGGTTAACCGAATTCTATGAAGGAAGAGTATGGTGTCCGAATGCCTTTCCGGGAGGAAGGGCATGTGACACAGTTGCTCACCAGTACACAATCTACAATTGCTGCAGGTAAGGGTATGGCTAAGTGTGCAGCTGTTCAACATGCACCGCCCATAACTTTACCTAATGCAACACAATTCCTGACTTAAACAATAGCTAAGGAGAAAAACATATAACATGAGGAACACGCTCTCAAAACTTTTAACGGTTAACTTGCCAAAACCAGGTTTATTCTAAAAGTAAAAACAGGAACATGATTTCTTTTAAAAAAGAAGATGGCACTGTTAAAACTTGAACCATCTTGAGCAAATGGAAGTAAGTTTACCATTCTCTTTAGCCCTTAGTAATGTTATTGACCGACCTACTTAAAGGAAAGGGAGAAACAGCACTCTTTAATAAAAGCCTTAAAACCACTATTCCCTATGACCACAAGATTTTTAGAACAGGTGAAAGCTGTTTGTACAATATTTTCACAAACAATTGCGAATCCAGGAAATAGCCTGGATATGCTTTCTGACCTGGAACAGTAGCAGGCACAGAGGAAAACAGAGCACATGTCCCACAAAGCAAGCAAACGTGCTAAAGGTCCAAACACTGGGAGTCATTTTTAAATTAGGGCGAACAGGGAGGCGATGGAGGAGACAGCATGTTTACCGTTCTCCAGCTGTTGCTGACGATCCTCTAAATCCTGCTGCACAGACTGGTAGCGGCCCAGGAGGCATTCAAAGCCCTGCTGGACAAAATCGGGGGCAGAAGGCCTAGACTTGAGGGCTGCGCAGCTGGCACGCACCGTTTCCATTCCGGGGTGGAGGCCAAGGAGATTGGTCAGTTCCCGCTGTGGACGAGAAAAATCAGGTCACATCACTCACCGGAGGATGAACGTCCTCGCAGAAAGCTGATCAGAGCAGAATTAACCTAATGGTCCTGAAACAAGGAGCATTCCTTTCAATACAGGACTGGGCACAGAATTCTTTCATATCCGGATGGATGGTGTCTCTTTACCTTTGCACTCCGTAAGGCCTGCTGGGGGGATGCTGAAGAGGGGGCATGTTCTAGCCATTCCTCCTTTGTCTTTATGGTCCTGTCAAGCTCGTCAAGTTACCTAAAGTAAGTGTCTATATCTTCCTGGAGCTGACTCTTTCTTGCCAGATCCTCCAAATGCTGAGATACATTCTTCCATTCTGATAATACCTTCTCCGGGATATGCTTTATATCTTCAGTCGGAAGACCTTCTACACAGGCATGAAAAATAAGCAAACACTTTATATATTATGACAAAACTGGTTTAAAATTTGTTATAAATAACATACTCAAAATAATGAGGTAATCTCACATATAATGATCATTCCATAATCCCTTTTAACAAAACAAAAAATATGTAGTTATGAAATAAAATAAGTATAAAATATAAACTATAATGATGCGATAATAATGATAATAATGCTGCTGCTGCTAGAAATAACTGCTCAATTCCTTGACCAAAGTGAGAGAGGGGGAGCTTGAAATGGTGTTTCAGGAGTGGTGTGACTATCACAAAGGACCATCAGCAGAGCTTAGAACCTCAGCCACTGCCTTTCCTATGGCATTCTGCTAGCTGCTAGCCTAAGCCAGGGAAATAAAACAGACTGTCTGGAGGTGTCTGGAGCTCTGACATCAGAAAGTAAACACTCTGTTAACAAAAAAGGGGCAGCTGGCTACAAAAACCAGGAGGCAGCTTAAGTCTTTGGTGACCAAACCACAGTGTCATAGGAATAGCAAAATGAATAGCAAGAATTCCCAGTGCTCGGAGCAATCTGGGGAAGTGTAGGGACAGTCAGCCAGCAGCAAGACCCGAGAGCATCAGCAAATCTACCTGGCACACCACACACAGACCAGCAAATACCAAAACATCAATGCAGCAGTAATATTATCTACTTCAGAAATGCATCAGAAAAAAAATGCCATCATGTTTATTACTGGCATCTTATACTTATTTTTAAGTGGGAATATCCCAACAGTTTTACTTATTTATTTTGATACATTATATCCCCAGGAATTACATATAACTTTGCTTGTCTACTTTTTTATTTTATTGATTTCAGGGAGGAAGAAGGAGAGAGAGATAGAAACATCAATAATGAGAATCATTGATTACCTGCCTCTTGCATGTCCCCCACTGGGGATCAAGCCCATAACCCGGACATGTGACCTTGACCAGAATTGAACCTGAGACCCTTCAGTTTGCAGGCCAATGCTCAATCCACTGAGCCAAACCTGCTAAGATTTATCTCACATTTTTGAGAGTTAGGAATGTTCATAGAAATAATCAAATTATATGTAATAACAGCTTTTGTTATATAAAAACCCTAAGTACTATGAAAAAGTATGAGAAATCTGCACAGGAGAGCATGTATGTTGGGAAGTTAGGAGGCCAATAAAGACAGTTATACTTTATAAATATGTACCATCGAAATATGGGGTAATGAGAGCACTAAGGGAAAAAAAGGTAAGAACCATGAAAGTTCACTTCTGACCCACAAACGATGCAATTTCAAAAATTCCTATAACACCTGTTATCCACTGAAAATTAGAAATGCACACAGGTCATGATTTGAATACATCACCCGTGTCAGTGGCTGAAGTTCACTGGCTGTCATACAGGTAACAGAATATTAATTAAACCTAAGCAAAATATTCACACCATAGCCCAATGGTCAGCAAACTGTGGCTCGCAAGCCACACTCTGTTGACTAATGAGTTTGCTGACCACTGCCATAGCCCAAGTTCAGTTTTCCCTGTTAATGGGGGTCATAAGCAAAACACATTAACATCTTCCTGACGAACTAATTGAGCGATGGAAACTCAGGCTGTGCTTCCACCAGGTCGTTTCTATTGTCATTGGGCAAAAGAATAACACCAACCACCTCATTTTCATGTCAGCACTTTGTGCTAAACAAGAAAGAACATCGAGCAGGTAAACAGTCTTGAGATGAAAAAGTATCGCTGCTCAGTTAAAAAACAGGCAATGGGTGCTCACATTGGGTACTAGGGAAGCCGAAGCAACTTCTCCAATTCTTTTGTTTATTCACTGACAGTACTTCATGATCCATTTATGTTGTCTCTTCAAACCAATTCTCAAAATGTAAATCTCCCTCCTCCAAGCTTGAGGTAATATATCAGACCAATATCAAGGAAAGCACAAGTTGCATCATTAAAAAAAAAAAAAGAGGAAAACTACACATTGTTTTTTAAAATAATGGTTTTGCTCCCAGAGACCCAAAATAATGACCTTTCTACCTCTATAAAACACCCAACTCTTAGAGGACTAATTAAAGCCACATCAATAGCTCCTCGTTTTACTACTTAACCTAAGAAGAATAAAATAGAACATATTCTTGCCATTAATTCTCATTTGACTTTAGGCTGTTCAGTGACTACACTGTTGCAATCAAGAAAAAGGTTTACAGAACATGAGACCATCAGACTTACATACTTTGCCAGGCATAATGAGCATCAATTCGTAAAGCCAAATGCCCATCCAAATGCCCGACGACTCTAGCACATTTGTAGACAAACCCTAGGAACCTGATAAGCAAAACCAACATAACCAGGCATAGCAGAGTATTTCTGTTTTAAAACCTCATTATGCTATATGAGCTATCACAAAACTTAATTCAAATGCATTAGCCAGAAAAGTTCTATCAGAATTCATTATGGTAGGATTTTTGATGGAATAGTTTGAGGAAGCCAGTAACATGATTATTTGAATATGCTTTTCTAATTGAACTGAATTATTTACCTGCCTCCTTACCTAGGTAGACTATAGCCAGATTACACCCTATAACACACACACACACACACACACACACACACACACACCCTCTTATTAATTGCCAGTGTTCTAGGACTTATTTCAGTTTTCTAGGGGAGGAGAAGGAGAAACAGAGAGGATCATCCAATTGTGCTTTCATTTCTGCTGAACATTCCTGGTTTTATAGCAGCAGCAGGATTATCAGCACTAACCACATGTGGAGAAATAATATGCAATGCTATAAAATTATAATAATAGCTAACATGGAATGAAAGTGGGGAAATTTTAAAAAATCATTTTCATTCTCTCACTAACAAAAAGCAAACACCTTCAAAAAAATGATAAAATTAAACCCAGAACATATAAACCCTGGATCAATGCCCTTATTTCTCAGCTTCCCACCCCATCCTAAAAAAAAATTTGATAACAGATATGAAATAAATATAATTAGGGTTCTATAATGAATGCATTTCCAGTCCTACCAAAGCTCAAAATAATGGTAATGCAAAATATAAAAGGTTTCTTATGAAATTTAAAAAGCATATATTAGGTCAAAAAATTCATAGTTTAAAGTAACTTTATCTCTCTGATGTTGCCAAAGCAAAATTTTCTTTTACAACCTTCCCCCATCTCCTCCCTACACACAAATTTCCCAACATATAATCCCAAAGGAGGAGATTTTAAAATCTATGCAGTCGAATGTAACTGTTTTGCTGAGGTATCAGAGTTTTAGGTTCCCTGATCCTGTCTAAAAGCAGAACGACTTTGCTTTTTATCAGTTTGATAAATCAGCCTCAGCAAAAGATTTCATTTGAAAAAAAAACATTTTGCTGACAAAAAAGTTTCTGAAAACCACTCTTCTAGCAAAGAGGGTTAGAGTATCAAAATATATATTTTATTTGTTAAACTGTAAACATGATGCAAATCTATTTGCACCATCTAAAAACACATTAAAAAAAAAAAAAATCAAGGGTCTCACCTTTTCCCATTTGCTCCAAAAGGATTTGTCCAGTTTTGTTTAATTCATCTAGTCTGGGTCTTCTTTCTGTCTGTTCTCTTTCTATTCCCTGGAAACAAAGTCTCAATATAAGAATATTGTAAATTTTCTCCTGGGAATAATGTTGAAGCTCTTTTCAGTTTTAGTGTTTAAAGTCCCTCCCACATTCCCTTTAGATGTCACTCAGTTTACCTAAGAGGATACTACCATACACAGCTAGGCAACTGCAGGCCATCTTCCAGAGCTCCAGAGATGTTTAATTTTAAAAGGTATGTTCACACAAACATTAAAAAAACTTGGGTTTCTTTAAAAAAAAAAATGTTTACACTACAATTACGAGTTTCTATCAAGAGAAAATAAGGCCGAAACCGGTTTGGCTCAGTGGATAGAGCGTCCACCTGCAGACTGAAAGGTTCCAGGTTCGATTCTATTCAAGTGCATGTACCTTGGTTCCGGGCACATTCCCAGTAGGGGGTGTGCTATAGGCAGCTGATTGATGATTCTCTCTCATCGATGTTTCTCTCTCTCTCTCTCTCTCTCTCTCTCTCTCTCTCTCTCTCTCTCTCTCTCTCTCTCTCTCTCTCTCTCTCTTCCTTTCTGTCAAAAATCAATAAAATATATATTTTTCTAAAAGAGGAAATTAATAAAATTAGTGGTTTAGATCCAGAATATCTATCTATTTACATATATAGCCTCCACATATGCCACACCATAAAAATAAGGGTTTGTGCCGAAACCGGTTTGGCTCAGTGGTAGAGCATCGGTCTGTGGACTGAAAGGTCCCAGGTTCGATTCAGGTCAGGGGCATGTATCTTGGTTGTGGGCACATCCCCAGTAGGGGGTGTGCACGAGGCAGCTGGTCGGTGTTTCTCTCTCATCGACGTTTCTAGCTATCTCTCTCCCTTCCTCTCTGTAAAAAATCAATAAAAATATATTTTAAAAATAATAAAATAAGGGTTTGCATCCAGCGAACTGAATGTGCTCGGACAGAGATCACTGAACAAAAATTAATTAACAAGAAAAAGAAACAGCCCTCACTGGTTTGGCACAGTGGATAGCATGTCGGCCTGTGGACTGAAGGGTCCCAGGTTCAATTGTGGTCAAGGGTACATGCCTGGGTTGCAGGCTCAGTCCCCAGTAGGGGGGCATGCAGGAGGTAGATGATCAATGATTCTCTCTCATCATTGATGTTTCAATATCCCTCTCCCTCTCCCTTCCTTTCTGAAATCAATAAAAATTATTTTTTATAAAGAAAAAGAGGCCAAAATAATTTGAGTCACAGTATTTTTTGTTGGTATTACATTGTCTAGAATGTATTGCAAACTTCAATCATCAACATAAATGCATACATAATATATAAATAATTCCAACATACTTTAGGTTCTAAGCTAAAGCATTTTTTTTTTTGTTTGTTTTAAAATGGTTTAATTGTAATATGTATGTCTCTATGGTTTTACATTCTCGTTGTGCCTACTAACAGGTTATGAAGACAAACTCCACAACCTCTAAAAAAGAGCTGAACAAGATCACGAGAGTACATACACATACACATACATATACACATACACATACACATACATGTGCACCCAGTATTTGAAATTTTTCCCTCTCCTCAAGTCCCAATCGGTATCAACTACTTAAATTGTGTCTAAAATAGCACAACAAAAACTTGTAGGAGGGCACAATAAGGAATTAACAAGATACTACTAATAAAATAGAATAATTATAATGATACATTGTAATAAAAATTATGCAAATGTAGTCTCCCTCTCTCTCAAAATACCTATTGCACTGTACCCACCTTTTCTTTTCACATATCTGAACTGCCAGTATCACAACTCTTGTGCTTTGGGGCCATTAGTAAATAAAATAACAGCCTTATTTTGCACATAAGCACAGTGATACCTCAACAGTCGATCTGATAATGAAGGCAGCTACTAAATGACTGACAACAGGGTAGCCTATACAACGTGGATACACTGAACAAAGGTGGGATTCACGCTCTAGGTGGGGTGAAGCAGGACAGTGCGAGATGTCAACGTGCTGCTCAGAACCGCATGCAACTTAAAACTTCTGAACCGTTTATTTCTGGAATTCCCATTTAATATTCTTGGACTGCAGTTGACTGCAGATAACTGTGCATAAGGAGGTACTACTATAGTTTGCCTCAGAAAGCAAAACATCTTCTGCACACACACAGTCACAAATTATTAGGTACCAGATTAAGACCTAATCAGGAGGGGGGTGAGAGTGGCCGGCGAGAGGTCAATGGGGGAAAAGGGAGACCCATGTAATATTTTAAACAATAAAGAATTTAATTTTTTTTTAAGATCGAATCAATGCCAGCAGGGGGTGTGCAAGAGGCAGCTGGTCGGTGTTTCTCTCTCATCGACGTTTCCAGCTCTCTGTCCCTCTCCCTTCCTCTGTGTGAAAAATCAATAATTAAAAGAAAAGATTTTATCAAGCTAAAAATGTAAATAATATTTAGATCCCCTTAGGAAGGAAATGTTCCTTCCCACACAACTCAGTGGTTAAGAAGGAAGGGAAACAATTTCTCTTCCACACAGGGATCTGATGCCAGCCAGCTTGAATCGATTAAAAATTTACTAGAATGTTCTAAAAGCTGCGTTATGGCTACATTTATTCTACAAGAAGCTTTTGGGTCCCCTCCCACATTTATGCCAAAGTAAATCTATCCTGATGAAATATTTTATTCACTAGTGTACTTCTGTTTTATGTTTTACCTTCAACTTCTTTTTCATTTCTGAAGTCTCTTGCATCTTCTTATATTCTTTTATCTCTGTGGCCTGAATGGCGGTCTTTGATTTCAAAATCCAGTCCAGCAGCTCTGCACTCAGGGCATCAAACCTGATTTGAGATTCAGATGTTAACACTTGTCATTCGTTTCCTTCTATTGTGTCACTTGGCTCAGGACACCCATCCAGCAAGCGTTTTTAAACACTCCTCAGAAAACAAAACAAAGAGCCAGCCCAGAAATACAGAAACCTCGCAAAATAAGATCATGCACGCACAATGCAAAGCATGAACAGAGGAATAATAGTGTCGGGTTAATAAATAAAGACAATAAATATTGAACGGTGGAAACTTTTAAAGAAATTACTTGCATTTTTATAAACACTTGTAGATAATGAGAAACAGATTTGGTTAGATAGTGACAAAAAAGAACACAGTAGGGACAGTGCTAAAGTTCATGCCTTCTTTAATTCATCGCAGAGTGGTCTCAGTTACTGTCCAACTGGCGTTTCCTTGTGCTCGGTACTTTGTACTGTTTGTCTCAGGCAGGATGCCAGCTATTCTGTGTCTTTATTTCTCTGTATTCACCCATTCATTCGTAGTTTTTATGATGGTCCCCTATGGCCGAGTTACTGATTAGGACAGCAATTTTCAACTAGTGGGATACAAGAATGTTCAAAACATGCCATACCTGACTCTTTAGTCAGGGGCTCTGACCTCATATCCCTTAGATTGTCAACTAAAAAATCACAACAGTCAACACAACAATAACCATCTGGTGTGAATGAATCAAAATTACATTTTTTTTGCCAGATTAGCAAAAATATATTGTTTGATGTGCCACAGAATTTTAGTAATTAGTTGGTATGTGCTATGAGGTGAAAAGACTAAAAACACTGGTTTAAGATGCTAGGAAAACATAGATCAAGAAAGATAAGATACCTGTTCTCCCATAGTTTTGTTGAGGACATAAATAAACTAACAAAATAACTTAAGATAGTGTTAAGAAATACGAAGAACAGCCAATAGAGTAGTTTTTTGTGGGTTTTTTTTTTTTGGGGGGGGGGGGGGACCATTAGATGAGATTTCTCTCTGAAGAAGCGATTTTTATGCTGAGACCTAAAGAATGAAAAGAAGCCAGCAGTGTAATGACCCTGGTAAGTGGGTTGAAATTGAAAGTCAAAGTCCTCAGGCAGGGGTGAGCTTGGTTTATTGAAGCAACAAAAACAATAGCCCCAACGGAATAAGGTGTGACTGTGCTTAGTGAGCAAGGGGACATGAGAGTATTGGGGGCCAGGTCATGTAGACCATAGAGAGGACTTGTCATTTTATTCAATTATATCCATCCAACAATTTTTGCACATCTTACATTTCTTCATTTCCCTCCTCATTCATCTTAGGTTCCCTGCTTCATCCTTATAATTGCTCCCTTAAAAATACCCTTTTCTTGCCGAAACCTATTTGGCTCAATGGATAGAGCGTCGGCTTGGGGACTGAAGGGTCCTGGGTTCGATTCCGGTCAAGGGCATGTACCTTGGTTGCAAGCATATCCCCAGTACGGGGTGTCCAAGAGGCAGCTGATCGATGACTCTCTCTCATCGATGTTTCTAACTCTCTATCTCTCTCTCTTCCTCTCTGTACAAAATCAATAAAATATATATATTTTTTAAAAAACACCCTTTTCTTTTGTGTTAGTACCTACTCCTGTGTAACAAATGACACAAAAATGTAGTGGCTTAAAGCAGGAAGCATTTTATCTCACAATATTTGCAGAGCGGAGACCTAAAGATGGTGTAGCTGGGCAGGTGTGGCTGAGGGTTTCTGGTGAGGTTGCAATGAAGATGTTAGCCAGCACTGCAGCTCCCTGAAGGCTTGACTGGGGTTGGGGGACTCGCTTCCAGGCTGACTCTCTCACACACATGGAGAGCAGCCCTGGTTGTTAGCTGGAGGACTAGTACCTTGTCACACGGACCTCTCCATAGAACTTCTTGAACATTCTCATTACACGATGGCTTGCTTTCCCCCGAGAGAGTGATCCCAGAAAGTGCAAAGTCTGTTATGATATAGCTTGGAAATCACACACCATTGTTTTATCAGATTTCCTGAGCACACAGGTCATCACTGCGCACAGAGGGAGAAGAACAAATCGTCATATGAACTCAAATTTACATGATGCGTTTTTTCCTTTCAGATACTCATCCAAAGGCATCAGTCATAGTGGTGAGGAGCCCTTTGCTCTGCAGCCAGAAGGAATATTGGGTTCAAAGAGCAGGTTCACCCTGTTCTGGCTCTGTGACCTGTGGCATGGTTCTTAACCTCTCTCAGCCTCTGTCTTCCCATCTGGAAAATGCTGGTAATGCTACATCACAGTTCACAATTGATATGAAGATCAAAGTGAGATAATGTTGGCAACAAATTTAGCCATAACGATTGGCATATACATTCTTAGTATATGCTATCAATTACTGCTCTTGCTCTTACTCCATCTTTTAGGACTGTGGACTATAGCTACTCCTTAAAGTGCTTCATAAAATTTGGTGCTAGATTATGTTTTGGAGAAGTCAAGGTTAGATTGGAGGGACTGTGAACCTGATGATCTTGACAAACCTTGATAATGCCGGAAGCTCAGACCTATCATAAAAAATTCCCCTCTGCAGGATAAAATTTGGCTCACCATTCATTTTCAGATGAGCTGAGAGTCAAGCCTTAGGGCCAGGTAGACAGGAGCATCTATAATAAGTTCAATCCCAGTACAAAACCTAATCAACTCTCAAGTTCGAAGAATGAGCTGATGATTCAGACATTTATATCAAAAGGTGTTAAAAGATTATTTGGAACAGGGTGGAGGATAGGAATCAGGATTTCCAATCCATCCAGAATTGCATTTCTTGTGAGTCTTCTAGGAAATGAAGGCAACAACGTTTTCAAGATCATTCCTTTATTTGTCTTATATAAAAATTAATGTTTTTGAACATTTTCTATGTACCAGGTACTAGGGTAGGTTTTGGCAAAGTAGCTGAGAACAAGATTGCCTGAACCCCAATTCTCATGGTGTTCAAGATTTAAATCAACAGCTAGACTAAGCACTATTCTGCTTGATGGCTTAACTTTCTACAAGTTGCCAGAAATTGCTAGAAATCTGAGGGATTTCCACGGATATATTAAAATGATTAGTATTAATAGTAGGCAGAGGGTAAAATTCTGATTTCCCTCCATAATATTTGTACCCAGTTAATCAGCTGCCTAATTACTATAAACAGATTAAAATGTATTAACTTGTTGAGGCACATATGTTTCCCAAAGCCACTGTCTAAACTGAATTACCAACGACATGGTTTGAGCAATAATATCAAGATTACAAGTCATTTTTCTCAACTTTCTCAGTGCTTGTATAAGACCCATGGGAACTGTTTACATTGCAGGATAAATACATTAGTAATGCACAGATTCCCAAAGCAGTTTCAACACTGGCATGGAATTTATACATTCCCTAAACTTTGCTTCAATGACAGATAAAATTCCTTCTGAGCTGGGTAAATGGAATGCATTCTGGAAACTGTACCTTTCATTACAATGAACTCAATTGCTCCTGGCATTCATAATTTGCTCGGCTTAATATGGCCTGACAAGCCAATTCTTTGTTCCTTTCCTAATCCATAGTGCAGATGTTAATCTCCAACAATTAATAACTCATTCCTACATAGCTTGGAAAGGTCACAAATGACAGTGGAAGCATTTTTAAAATGTGTGTACCTTGGTTTCAGGCTTGATCCCCATTTTTGGTTGGGATGCTTGTGAGAAGCAACCAATTGATGTCTCTCTCACATGGATGTTTCTCTCTTTCTCTGTATATCCCCTGCCTTCCACTCTCTCTAAAAATCAATGGAAAAATATCCGTGGGTGAGGATTAACAAAAAATTTAATATAAAATGAAGTGATAAAATATAGTTTTTAAGACCTTGGGTTTTACTATCAAATCCTTGGTCTATATCTAGACTCTCCCTTACCAGGCAGATGACGTCATACCAGGATCTGAATTTATCCAAATCTGTTTATTCATTTGTATCCTGGGTTTGACGACAATAGTGAGTAGTTGCTGTTGCTATGCATTTAAAATGAAATATATGCTGGGTGTTGCTGAGCACGCCTTGGGCACATAGTAAGCACTTTAGTAGGTCATAGTTATTATTATTATTAGCTTCTCTATGTAGACTCTACATTGTAGAGTAGAGCAGTAGCAGTCTCCAGGATGTCTCCCAGTGATTCTCGTCTTCTGGCACTCAAGCCCTTGGACCGACCCCTCCTAAACTGAGCAGAGCAGACCTGCTTAACCAAACAGACAATGCAGAAATGACATGTGTTACTTTCAAGCTTACATCCTAAAAGGAAATGTGGCTTCTGCCTTGCTCTTCCATGGGTTGCTCTCACCGGGAGAGATCAGCTGTGTTGTGAGTACACTCAAGAATAGCACATGGAGAGATGTCCATGGAATAAGGGTCAAAGATTCCCTACCAAGAGCATTAACTTTCTGGTACCTCGAGGGAGCCATATTGGGATGGGGTTCCCCAGTCTCTGTCGGGCTTTTGGATGATTGGCAGTCTGGCCGACTCACCAGGATCTCAGCCTCATGGGACCAATCCTGCCCTATGGAAACTGTGTGACATAAATTCCTTTAAAAGCCACGTTTTTGGCAATTTCTTATGCAGCAATAGGTAACTACTCTAAGCACCTTACAGTATTTCTATACCCAATGATTTCATGTCGTCCTACTGTATTCCAAGAGGAACAGAAGATGGTAAAGGATATTTCTGTTTCACTTTGTGAAGAAATGAAGACTTGGCCAATGAAGCATATTACAAACCATTTGATTGGGTAGTAGTTGGAAACTTCATCCCAAGGTAGACTTGGTTTTGAAGCCTAGAGCTTCCACTTTCTAGCCAAATAACATTTCTAAGTGTTTTTTTTTAATCGATGGTAAAATTGCTATGGGAATTATAAGAGACAAACTTATAAAATGCTTAGTACAATGACTAGCCAGGGATAAGTGATTTGTACATATTTATTAAATAAATAAATAAATAAATGGTATATTCCATAAGAAAGGTATTTTTTCA